CCCCCTCTGCCATACATTATGAACGCAGCCTAAACGAAGACGAAAAATGTGCACGGTTGCACATTTTAATGCAAATAACGAAACATAAACTCGCCTTGGAACAAACAAAATCAAAATATGCAGACTTCAGCGRCAAAGGTTAATAAAATAAAGGGTGAATCAACAGCTAATCCAGGAAGTAGTGTCTAGATTATTTGGGAATAACCCCTTATTATTGTAATAAAGGGTTATTCCCCCAACGATCTTAACTCCTCTTTGTGAATTTTTCCAAGAAAAACACTAGTCACGCGCGTGGGACACGCGCACATTCATGCTGACAATACGAATAAATAGTATAGCTACGCAATTTTAACATAAATGAAAACGAGGCCCCCAACTATTTATATATCCATTAGTCTAAAATATTTTGTATAAAGTTCTTTTTTCCGTCATTGATTATCTGAAGAAATCATTGTGTAAAACTGGTCCATTTGAGCCTCAAACATAAGCGGCTTCCACGAATCGATTAAATTGACCTTTCAGAAAAATCGTAACCCATGGCCATCGAGGACACGAGTGAWAAACGTCTCCTCATGCTCTGAATGCGTATGTAAATCAGTCAAARCATAAGTAAATTGGACTTCCAAAAAATGCCAAAACTTACGGTTCATGCTTGAAATTTAAGACTAATTCTTTCATATTGTGTTTGTTAATACAGTATCTTGATCTGACAAAAGTATACTCTTGAAGTTTTTTGAATACGTCACTTCCGTCCGCGTCCGTCCGTCCATATGTCCACAGGGTTCCCGGTCTATTTCAAAGCAAAACTACTCGCATTCTCGTTCCCAGAGCCTGGGCTTTTGCTAGCCAGCTTAAAGTAAAGCGCGAAAGGCTCTGGGGCAAYCAAAAACCGAAAACAAGATTCTTTGTTTCCGGTTTTACAGAAAATAGTCCATTCTTGGGTTTGGGATCCCTAGGCCTCTCTCCCTAGACTCTATAAATTCCAATTCGTTCCTTGCGAGTTAGCCCTGCCCTGACTTTGACCAGCCCATAGGTCGTTTCAAGGTATCCATAAATTTGGTTTTGAACTCTCTAAAACACTGACATTCGGTTACCCTGTATTCYAGAGGCTCTCTCGGTCCAGTGAAGTCTCCCCCACAGCCGCTTTCAGTGTCGTCACGCAACGCTTTCTCCCCTACTCAGGTCCAGTGAGGAGCGAGGAAAAGAAACCTTCGTCCGAGAAGCACTGGAGCGAGAGAGCTTCTGGTTTTCCTGATCGTATTGTCATCGTCCTCCCTCGCCATGACATGAAGTCATTCACACGTTCCTTTTCAATCATCAGATACCTACAAATATTGGATTTTTCTCACTGACTTATTAAAATAATTTATAATTTATAATTATAATTAATAATTTATAATTTATAATTAATAATTTATATAAAATAATTTACCTTTTCATCATTACTGACTTATTAAAATGCAATAAAACTTTCAACAATACCTCCGATCCACCAATTTCGCTTATAAAGAGCATGTCCCAGATATGTGGCTGGTAAAAGGAGGTAGGATGAAGTAATGGAAAAACGAAAATCTTTTGGATGATCCGAACAAATGGGGATCGGAGGTTAATCGGAAATTGAGTTAAAGAGCATATTAAAACTTAAGGCATTATTTYGTAACTCAAAGTATTGTCTTAATTAATCCCTTTTGAGTCCAAGATTTTCGCACTTTCATTTTGAGAGCGAGGGATTAACCCTTATAGTCAAGAAAACTTCGCGGGAAGTCGCCACAGATCTTCAAGCTAACTCGTAACCAAACCAAAGTAAAGATTACTTTAATCATTCTTATAGATATTAAGAAATGAAAACGCGTTACAAAAGAAAGTAGGAGAGTAGAAATATTGAGCGTAGATTAATGTAGCCTGAAAAGCTTTTTGCTCTCTGATAGCTGCCTGAATTTTACGGGTTTTCTGTGGTGCATAGGCCGAGCGGTCCTGGACATGATATTTTGAGGGAGTTTCGAATAAATTTATGTGCACGACTGAACAAGATCTGCTGACTACCTCTCATTCATTCGGTCTGATCTCCCTCGATGGGCGCTAACACTTGACAGATTGGTTGGTATAAAATCACCGTTCTCCATTATGGACAGCGAACTGCTCGAACACTTCCAGAACCTGAACGACATTGCAAAAGAGAAAGGCCACATAGACGACGCGTCGAAGGATGCCATCTTCAAATTATTGAAAAGTAAACAAGGTATTTATCCTTAATTTTGAATAATTTCATCTTATAATAACAGTAATTGTGATAGGATGTTACTTTTGGTCGTGGATTTTTATTAATCTTGTGGTAATTTTCAGTATGATATTATGAAATTCTGCCCAGATACACTGAACAGTATAAAAAATGAAACTTAATTTATAACTCTAAACCACTCCCTCGATATCTGTAGCTAGTTCTCTCTCTMTATATACAAACCAAATCAAACCAAATAAGATTAAAAGAGTTATGACAAATGTTGTTATAGCGTGAGCGAAGTATCTTTGATATTAAATTTTTTATTTGTGTTAGATATTGGTATATAATGTTATTRAAATGCACTAATGGTGGCATACTGCCAGTATATTGTTGGGTCTAGAATGTTCCAATACATTCTAATTAGGAAAATAAATTGTCTTGTGCGATATGATCGACATTCATATGAGTTAAAAATAGATATACGTGCAAGGTATAGCCAAACCTGTAAACAGGCCATAATTAGAACGTTCTAGAAGAACTTATGAACTTGTTGCCATAGTGACTTTTCTTATGATTTAATATGAAATACATTTGTTCTATTTGTAATGTAATATTGAAATTAATTGTATTTAASCTAATTGTGTAACTGCTTTGTGCTAACTAATACTTTGATTAATTAATGCAATTACACTATTGTGTTATGAATTCAATCAGTGATTACATTTAAGTCCTAAAATGTGGTACATGAAGTCCATTGTTGTGTCTGACTGACTAAGTATGCTGACAGACAAATATATTGATAAAACATTATTGGTACCTAATGATTGCAAAAGGTCAACCATAACATGCAGTGTATTTAAGSATTCAGGCTCATTGATTTTAGTATTGAACTTTTTATTATAGTTTATAGTTTGAAGCACTGTAGTTTATAGTTTGCAGCACTGTCATGCGAAGGCAAGGCTACATCTTGGGGGCAGGATGGGTGGGGTGAATCGGCTAGCTTTGCAACTCTAGTCAGTGAATAATGTAAAGTTTAAAGAGGAAGCTATATATAATGGCTTCCTAGGTGTTAAATCCTGGATCCTAAAAGATGCACCTGAGTGCCAGACATACATAAGAGACCTTGGGAAAAAACAATCATAGAGTTATAGCCAATTTCTAGAACCCTTGAAGAAAAGATTTTGTCTGAAGTGAGCTTTTCTTTTCAAAAAATTATTTTCCTGCTCCTGAACTATAAGAAACTTCCAAGTTTTCTTTCATTTTAATGTCAAAACAAAATTTCATTGTTTTATATGTGTTTTCCATAGCTCACTCTTGCCTGGAAATGCCTAATTATTAACTGTTCTTGCAAGCAAGCCATTGTAACATAAGCGATAATCTGATTGGTCAGAAATAAACCAATCACATCAAATGTTACAAAGTGAAAGACGTCTTTTCGCGCACTTTTTGACGCGCTGTGACGTCATCTCCCTTCCCTATCAATTCTCCAGATTTTAATATCTCGGGGGTTGACAGCCCTGCATCTTGAAAAAGAACTATTAGCCTCATTGTACTTTTCACAGATTTTCATAATTGGGATACCTATGGTAAATTTGGGCATTTTAAAAGACCTTTATCTGCTTATTTCGAAGTGAAGTGTGTTTTAAATTAAAATGTCAAAATGTCAAGAAAAATAGAGAACACTACTGATCTGAGGTAATAAATGTTGTTATGGTTTCAGAGGCACTGATTGTTACGACAATTCAAACTGTACTAGARTCACTCAAGAAAACCCTTCTTTATCTTGAGAACGAGCCTGACAAGGCTAAAGTCTTTGATCTGTTAGCAGAACTGGCAAAATCAGGTTGGTAGTCAATTGTTCTTGGAGTGCAAAYACATGTATTGACTCAAAATCCCTTGMGATWTAAATAACAATGAAACAGCTCCCATGTTGGTTGATCTAACAAGGAAAGCTAATAAGGAATGCTTTGYTGTAGTCAGCTAACATGTATGTCAAGAATACCAGTTATGCAATGATTTTTAGTGGCATACCGTAATATGGAATATCCTACAAGGCACTAGTATTTTTAGATATACACATGAGGCTGCAAWGYATGATGGGAAGGAACAGTGGAATCAAAATCYTTTTAAGGAATGATCTTATGTGTTATTGGCAGCATTATTGTTATTTTGAAGTAGTTTCTTTTCCCCTGACAAGCATCACCAGAAAGCAAAGGATTGATTGCCAATTGAATGGCAGTTTGGATGGTTTGGACAGTTTGACAAATTGGTTTGGAATATGCTAGTATTAAATGCGGAAAAAATTTATTGATTAAGAATGTGGTTAATAAAATTATAATAAAATTAATAAATATATATATATTGAATTACAGATGAGGTGCGTGATTTCTGTGTGGATRCAGGCTGGATAGCAATAGCTCTGGATCACTTAGAGCATGAAGATCAGAAYGTAGTGTTACATACCTTGCGCTCCATTGGAAACATATGCTACAACAATGGTGAGTAAGAAATAGCCATGGATTAAAATTAATTACAATACTAAAAAATGGTAATTAATTTTTTGTCATTGCTTACAGTCAATGGAAAAAACTTGTTGATAAATTCTTTAGGCCATCATAATTTCTTCCCTTTTGCTATTRAATATTAGATTTCATTCACTGATAATTCAGTAGAGAATATATTTACAAGTTTTGTTTGGAGTAC